TTGAAGGCGAACCAGTGGGCCCTATCTTGAAGAACCGGTAGGGGTTCGAACTTGGGCCAACGAACTGTAAGTAACGGAATTCGGGCTTACCCAGCTATTTGACCCTACTCGGGTTGGGGGAGGCCCCATACCTTGCCAAATTAAGTTCTGGAAAAAAAATTTAAACAAAGGATACGGCAGAACGAAAGAGTTTGTCACCACCGGTGTGTACTGATGTAGCAAGGACCCTCCAATAGGTCCATAGTATTTTCTTTATTGTACACCAGAAATAAATACTGCTGTATTATGTGATCACTGAGATGGGCATTAATGACCTACCCAGCCCATTAGGATCCTACCGTAGGACTGCTGACCCCATACGTCCAATAATCAATTGGACAAACTGCCCAGCATATAATCTAGCTAAACACTTAAACATAATATTAACAAATACATTACAACTACCTAATGCCTTTAACGTGAAAAACACTAATACACTATCACACTCATTACAACTCATAGAAATAAATAACAATACACAAATGTGTTCTTTTGACATCGAAAACATGTATACCAACATCCCCACAAAAGAACTTTTCAATATTATCGAAAATATCATTGATAAGAACCAAAATGTGTCACATGAAACAAAAATTGAAATTAAGAATTTGCTAAAGATAATATTAGAACAAAATTATATTGAACATAATGGCAAATGGTTCAAACAAAATGAAGGTCTTGCTATGTGAGCACCAACTTCAGCGATTCTTGCCGAGGTATTTATACAATACCTTGAACATACAACTATCATTGATATTTTGACGAAATACCAAATAATTGATTATTTTAGATACGTTGACGATATTTTAACCTTTTATAATTCCCATATAACTAACATTGAAAATATGTTGTACGAATTTAACAATATTCACCCCAATATAAAATTCACAATGGAAAAAGAAACAAATAATAAGATCAATTTCTTAGATCTATCGAAAAAACACATGAAAACCTACAACTACCGATCTAATCATTCACAATGACTCATGCCATCCATTTGAACACAAAAAAGCAGCTATAAATTTTCTCATTAATCGGATGAATCAATATCCCCTTTCGCAAAACAATAAAAACATAGAAGAAAACATTGTCAGAACTATCTTAAATAATAATAACTACCCACTAAATACTATACAACATACACACAAACCCTCCACAAAAAATACTACGTTGAAAAATAAATGGGGCACCTTTACTTATTTTGGCCATGAAATTAGATCTATTACTAAACTTTTCAAGAACACTGAGGTTGGTATCTCATATAAGACTAAAAACAATATAAAACATCTGCTGAAAATCAATGACAAATATGATATGTATAATCTAAGCGGGGTTTATCAATTACAATGTTCTGACTGTCCATTAAAGTACATAGGACAAACTGGACGTACCTTTAAAATCAGATTCAAAGAACACATACGTGACATAAAACATAACGGACAAAGATCCAAATGTGCTCAACATGTGCTGGACACCACACATGAATATGGTACAATAGACAAAACATGGGAAGTTTTACATATCGGCGAGAAAGGCCGAACCTTAGATACTTACGAAAAGTTTCATATATATGAAATCAGTAAACAAAACCTACAACTGAATGATAACTTTACTGAAATGTTCAATCCAGTATATGATGTTATAATTGATAAACACAAAACGTAATATACAGTTTGTAGCCGGCCGCCGACGTACAGTTGCCACGACTGTCGCTCGAGCTTGAGTTCTTAATCACAGGATACGGGTGCTTCGGAGATGGGAGTGGAACACACTTCGGGGTAAATTAATCCGGGATCTCCAGAACACACCGTGGATTGCAGTTTTAATTTAAAATTTCATTAATGATGAATATTTACATTATTCTCCAAGCTAGCCGCTCCGTCTGCCGACTAGCTACCACTACTCTTAAACACCTCTCTCCTCTCTATCTACCTTCCAACTACTGTCCTCCTTCGCTCCCTATAACCGACCCCCATCTTTAGAAGTCCCCCCCAGTGGGCATAAAACGAAACAAGAAAATAACAAGAGAAATCCAAGGGTCGAGCCCGACATCTGGCCTACATTTGTATTTTTCGAGATGCCCATAAACCTCTGTAGGTCTTCAAGGAATCCAAGACCCCTCCTGGCCGGTCTCGCACAAGGTCAGTTCATGGGTTTATGATATACTGGGAGTAAACAGGTGACGTTAGGGACAATAGCGGCACCCTTAGCCTAAGGAGGACAATAGCGGAATTACAACTTGACGGTCCCGGGATGGTATCTCACCGATGGAGCATCTCTCATGGTATTAAACCATGCATAAGTAGTTCATACCCTTAATTATATAATTTTGACGAGGGAAGTACGGTTACAAGTTATAACCTCTCCCCTCCCCCCTTACCATCACTTCCGCATACACATTATTTCTACCCCCCCCCTTCCCTCCCTTACATTGACCTTAATCCTACACCACCAAATCAGTCGTTGTTTGCTTTCCATGCAATACGGACAATTCTTCTTAATGACGAGGCAGCATTACACAGTAAGTAATAACATATACTCTATACTATATCTTCAATGTTAAATCATTTAACTAAACAAATTTAACATTACTACTTTTATATTATTTTCAGATTCATTAATTGCTACACCATGGGCCTCTCTTAAAATCTTCTATATAAAGTAATATCGAATTTCCCTATTGTCTATGGAAAAGCACACAAAG